ATGGTTGAATGGCATTACCGACTCAATGGACATGAGTTTAAGCAAACTCTGAGAGATAGTAAAGGACAGGGGGGCCTGGCATGCTGCAGTTCATGGGGTCGAAAAGAGTTGGACACAACTTAGTGACTGAACAACATTGCCTGTTGTTCCCCAGGGTGCCCAATGGTGGTGCTAAGAGGGCTGCTGTGTCTGATGATTTGATGGCTAGTGTTATGTTTCTCTTTTAAGTTCCCTCAGGGCTCATGTCAGGGAAGCTGTAATGTGACAGCTTGATGGCTGCAACATCCTTTGTTTCCTAATATGACGGCTAATAGTTTTCATTCACACCACCTTTCCCTGGTCACTGACTACTCAACATCACCCATGAATGACCTCCTCCTCTGTAATTGTGTAATTACAATTGTGTAATTTCTCTTGTTGTGGAGCCCTGGCTCTAGGGCACACAGGCTTCAGTAGTGGCGTTTCCAGGCTCTAGAACACAGGCTCAATAGTTGTGGTGAATGGGCTTAGCTGTTCCACGGCATGTGGGATATTCCTTGATTAAGGCTTGAACCTGTGTCTCCTGCATTGGCAGGAAGATTCTTTACCACTGAGACACCAGAGAAACCCCCATATATTTATTTTTTTAAATATTTATTTTTTTAAATATTTATTTTACTTATTTGGCTGTGCCAGGTCTTAGTTGTGGCACTCGAACTCTTAGTTTTGGTTTGTGGGGTCTATTTATAGTTCCCTGATCAGGGATCGAACAGGGACCCCTGTATCGGGGGTGCGGACCACCAGGGAAGTCCCTGGGAGTGTTTTTAAAGGGAACAAAGAAGCCGAGATGAGTCATCATCTTGGCACGTTTCTGTGACATTTCTTCATCATATTTTTGGGAGCCATGATGTCTCTGGTTTACCACTCTCTGATCAGATGGTTCATGTCTAGGGGCCTGTTAGTTCATCTTACCCTGGAGAAACAACCTGAGTTTGTACATTAATGATATCTCCAACAGCAACTTTGGTACATCAATTACATTATCAACAACAGCAATTCTAGTCATCTGACTCTGGCTGGTTAGAGTTCAAGTAGCAAAGTGTCGACTACAAAATTAGTCACAACCTGAAAGTAGAGAGTTATTTTACTTGGAGGGAATGTTAAGGACTCCGAGCCCAGGAGGCAACATCTCAATACTCCTGAGAAAACTGCTTGGAGGCAGGAGAGGGAGTCAGGTGATATACAAGTTTGCAACAAAAGGGGCAGGTGGTCTGAACATCAAAGATTATTGTATAACAGTAGTAAGGAAAATCAGGTATCAAGCAAAGATATTTAGTGTTCTTCTATGCATGGGAAGATGCAAGCCTCTGGGCTTATTGAATTCATTCCTTTCATGTGAACCTCAGCTATCTGGGGCCAAATCTTGTTTCTTTTTAAAATATATATATATATTTTAAATTTTATATATTTACTTTAGGCAGCGCTGGGTCTTTGTTGCTGCACGGGCTTTTCTCTGGTTGAAGGGAGCAGGGGGCCATTCTCCAGCTGCGGTGCACGGGCTCTAGGGCACTCCAGCCCCAGTAGTTGCAGCGTGAAGCCTCAGTAGTTGTGACTCACGGGCTTAGTGTTCCCCAGCACATGGGATCTTCCCGGATCAGAAACCTAACTCATGCATTGTTGGGCTGATTCTTTAGCAGTGAGCCACCAGGGAAGCCCCCATATCCTGTTTCTTGATAGTTTACATACTGAATTCCTTGTTCACTGACCTCAGCAATCACTGCGGGGGGTCGAGGCACCTGCTGGATCGAAGGCATTGTGTTCCCTTTTGGGAGCCCTCATTCACATTTGGAGGCCAGAAATCGCTGATGGCTGTGACACTTCTTGCCCACTGATATGGCAGGAAGTGCTTCATCTCACAAAAGGATTGTGGTCAAAGGGGTCAAGAAAAGGAATAAAGTTTTGGATAGAGAGGTTAACCATAAACTTGGTAAGGGAATGTACTTTGGAGGGGCTCAGTTTCATGAGAAAAGCAACCCCCCCCATACTAGGTGATGGGGAGCCAGCACTGAGATGAATCTTCACAAACAAACATTACTTTAGCAATCCTTATCTTCCATTAGTTTCCCCCTTATATTTACTTTCCCACTATTTATTACTTAAAGAAGCTCAAACCCCTTTTGTCTTGCTACATCTCCAAAATTTATCACTCCCTGTTAAGAAATGGTATATAAGCTCTCAGGCCTAATGGCTTTTTGGGTGTTTTCATGTCATTTCTGTGAGGTCCCTCCCATCCATATGAAATAAACCTTTTTCTGTTGTTAATCTGTCATTTGTCAGTTTAAACTGTAGGGCCTCGGTCAATGAACCTAAGAGGTTAGAGGAAAAAGCTTTTTCCTTCCTCACACTGTCTTTGTCCACATCACCAATCATTTCCTTTGCAATTGCTTGGCACATTTTGACCCTGATACTTATTGCCAAGTGTATTTAAGACTGTAGACATATTCATGCCGACTAACAAGGTATGTTTAAGCATTCTGTTGCGCCTGATTGTTTTCTTAGACCCAAATCCCACTGCCTCGTGAAGTCTTTTACTTCCACTCACCATCATCTCTTTCCTTTGTGAAATCTTTTCCACCTAGGGTCTGCAGTACTTTGTAGCTGAGCATTTCACTGTTTTCTTGTTCCTTTCTTTTTTTGGTTGTGCCGTGTGGCTTGTAGGATCCTAGTGTCCCTACCAGAGACAAACCTGGCCCCGGGAGTAAAAGTGCCCAGTCCTAATCACTGGACCTTCAGCGAATTCCCATTGTTTATTCATTAGAAAAAGAAGAAAGAAAAATGTCAGCTTGTATTTGTGTCTGGACTTACGTATGGAAGTGAAAATGCAAATACTAATTAGATCAAGTTACCACTTTCCTGGGCTTCCCTCATAGCTCAGTTGGTAAAGAATCCACCTGCAATGCAAGAGACCCCGGTTTGATGCCTGGGTCAGGAAGATCCGCTGGAGAAGGGATAGGCTGAACACTCCAGTATTCTTGGGCTTCCCTACTGGCTCAGTTAGTAAAGAATCCCCCTGCAATGTGGGAGACCTGGGTTCAATCCCTGGGCTGGGAAGATCCCCTGGAGAAGGGAAAGGCTACCCACTCCAGTATTCTGGCCTGGAGAATTCCATGGACTGCGTAGTCCATGGGGTCACAAACAGTCAGACATGACTGAGCAACTTTCACTTTCACCACTTTCCAGGAGCTCACAGTCCAGTGGACACCTGAATCTCGCAGTTAAATGAATCTTGTGAGTAGTGGGGTGGGATGGGGATTTTAAAAATGGATATAATTAGTCTCCTGCTAATAGTCTGACAGAAAAGCATAGCAAGTGATATCTGTTTATGGGTCTCTGGCACTAACTAACAAGAGGTGCTCAAATTCACATTTCCCCACCTCCCCCAAAATGATGGGATATAATTATAAAAGCAGAGTAAGTTTCCAAACTAAAAGTACCATGGCTTATTCATTCCAGCAGTTAGAGCATTTGGCCCACATAGAAGGCACTCAGGAACTGAATAAACACATGGATGGATGAAGACAGCTGACTGCAAGCAAGGAAAAACTTAAATTTTAAGTACAATTTCCTTATACCTATAAAGGGCAGATCTTGAAGTTGCCTTTGTTGTGATGATGAGGTGGTGAAGATTTGGGAGAAGTTCATAGGGAATGAAATGCCCTCTGGACTTCCCAGGTGGCACTAGTAGTAAAGAACCCACCTGCCAATACAGGAGACATAAGAGGAGCAGGTTCGATTCCTGGGTTGGGACGATCCCCTGGAGGAGGACATGACAACCCCCTCCAGTATTCTTGCCTGGAGAATCCCATGGATAGAGAAGTCTGGAAGCTGCAGTCCATAGGGTTGCAAAGAGTCGGAGAGGACTGAAGTGACTTAGCACTCACACACAAAAAGTCCTCTATTATAAAGGAAAGAAAAACTCAGGGAGACAGCTGGGAAGTGGGGGAGGAAGACTTTTTGAAAAGAGTAGAGCATGGTTTGGAGAGGAAAAGAGAGATGTGGCAGAGAAGAGCAGGGGGAGAAATATGTCTTAAGACTTTAAGAAATCTTGTATAATTTGTGATCTCAAGAAAACACTGGTAAAAACAGTGTGTCCTTGAGTCTGGTCCTTGAGTTCTTCTGTGTCCTTGAGTCTGGTCAGGACTTGTCTTTTGAATGTGGCAAGATACCACTATCAAGCCGGGTCCAGGGTGAGAGCTGGGACAGGGTGGGAGGCCTAGGGTCATTCGTGTTCACACGCACTTTGTGCTGAATCACAGCTGTGATTTGGTAGCCCGAGGAAGAAGGCGGGGAACACGAATGCCTTGTGGAATTACAGCGGTGGCAGGAATGATTTCATCTGGCTCCAGAAGTCAGCTGTGGGTAAGTAGTGATTCTTAGTCCATTTGGTTTGTCCAATGCCCAGCACCTAACAGGAGGTTGGAAAGTACGTGCGACTGATTGAATCGTACAGAATAAAGGAGTGGGCGGATTATAGCAATCGGCGAAGTGGCGATTATTATCCCACTGTAGAGATGAAGACACTGAGGCCTGAAGGTGACCGAATCCAAGCCTCTTGGAGAGCAGGGCGGAGCCAATACCTGCTCCGGCTCTGGCTCCCGCTCGCCCCGCCCCTCGCCACCAGCGCCCCAACCCCGCCCCCACACTTCCGGATCCTGCTCCACCCCCATAGAGCATTTCCGGCCCTGGGGCTGGGCCCTGGGGCTGGACCCCGGGTCGCCGAATGGTTAGGCGTCATGTTGGCGCCGTGAGGGCCTGCAGAGTCACAGGGCCATTGGCTCAGGGGCAGCGGGCCCAGGCAGCAGCGGGCTCTTATTTTCTCGGGCATTACGCGACAGCCGTTTCTCTGAGGAAAGCCTGGGGCCTTGGCCTGCGGGTGACGTCACTTCCGGCGCCGGTCAGGCAGGCGACGGCGGGGAAAGGCCTCGAGCTCCGTTTGGTGGCGGGGAGGTGTCAAGGCGGGTCGGCTTTGTATTTACGAATTTCTGGAGCTCAGGGTAGTTTAGGAGAGGCGGTGTTCCAAGTGGAGTTGTTGGATTTGGCAAATAAAAATGCAGGGAGTCTAGTTAAACTTGAATTTTAACTAGATAAGTACTTTTTTAGTATAGTTATAGCCTAAATATTGTACGGAACATATTTAGTTTTTAACAATTTCTAATTTATTTGAAATTGAAGTTTGATTGGACGTTCTGTATTTTATCTGGCCGCCTTAGTCTTGGGCGCCCCCTGCCTTGGGTTCTGCTATCCATTGGCAANGGGGGGGGGGGGGAACAGGTACAAATTTCGTCCAGACCGTCAAAATCAGCTATTGCTACGTGGTAAGCCACTTTTATAGCCAGTGCTCTTTGGCCAGCCCCAGCAATAGCTGGGGCCCGTTTTGAATCCCCATGGTAGCTCCCTCTGTGTTTTCCCGTTCACAGCTGGAGTCAGGAACGGTTTGTCTTCTTTTAATGGGAAAGTTGAGCTCCATGCAGGCTAAGTGATCCCAGGCTGGACGTTGCCAGGTTTTTTTTTTTTTTTTTTTTTTTTTGGTGTAGGATAAAGCAATGTTTGCAGTCGAGGTTTTCAGTGTTAACAATGGACCGCTTCAGAGAGCCCAGGGATGTCAAAGGAAGAGCATTAGTCTCATCTCACCTCTCATTTTGCACAGGAGACCCAGTGAGAGAAATGGAGCTGTCCCTGTGGTAGAGCTGGAGCCTGATTCTCTGCTGTGTCCACACTTGCTGCTGCAGTCTGTATGTATGGTGGGGATTTATTAATTTATAACTATAAAATAAATTTATAATTTATTAAAGTAACGCCTTGTTAGAGATGAGCTCTTTAGCACTTTATTGTCCCTAAACTACTCCGCAACCTCTTGGCCTTTACCTCAGGTCTTCTTTGGCCTTTACTGTGCCCAGTGGGGAAAATGATTATTTGGCCTCAGTGGTAGAAGCCTGTCCTTTGCCTGCCTCAGCCATGAGGCTCTCACCCCTGTAGGTAGTGTGATCCAAGATTTGTTATGTCAGAGCAAAAGGCATGTTCTTGGCAGCGGTGGGTCTGGCCTTGTAGGTGGAAGGGCATCCTTTTTGTCCTGCGGGTTGGGCCCCATTGTACCTGGGATCATGTGGTGTCTAAGGACTTTTTTAAGCTTCTACTGTGAATCAAAGTTGAACCTGAAGCTGTTGCTGGGCTGGCCCGGAGTGTGGGATTCTTCAGGCTTTGTGCCCCAAGGATGTGCCTGGACCTGCTTGTCAGTGTCCCGGCAAATCTACAGCCTCCCTGCACAGACTTAGTCTTTCCAGGCTCCCCAGCCCGGGCCTGTGAGATAATGAAACAGAGCGGCCTGGAGGTCACTGGGCTCCAGGTCAGTTGGTGGCATAGCCAACAGCTTTGTCGCAACTGAAGTAAAGAGGTAAAGAGGCAAGGAAGGAGTGCCAGAAAGGGGTGTTGCCCTGGGGGAGGCTCAGAAGTGCAGGAGGTGGAAAGGGGCCGGATGGAAGCCCACGGATAGTAATTTCTTCCTCTGTGAATGATTAACTCTCAGCTGAAGGAGGTGGTCTAGGAGGAGGGCTCTGCTAACAGGACCTCTGGACTCTGGGCAAGGTGTCCAGAGAGCTGGCGTGTGGCCTACAGAAGAGGAGGATGTGGTTGGTTAGACTGCAGGCCTGGGCTCAGAAGACTGGAGTGAGATCAGACAGCTGTGGACCTTAGGGAATCTCCTGGGTCTGGCCGATGGCCCATTCCTGCAGCAGCAGCAGCAGCAGCTGTGGGGTCCACTGGCCCTGAGCCCACAGAGCCGTGGCTCTAAGGGAAGCCTCCTGTCTCTGGCTTTGTAGCGGCCTAACCAGTGCTTTCTTTCTCCTAGGCAGCCATGGACGCCAAGTGGTGCTGAGAGCAGTGGGGCATGGCTGCAGCCCTGCAGGTCCTGCGTCATTTGGCCAGAGCCCCCTTGGGCCCACTCCTCTGGGGGGGCCCGTTGGCCCGCCTGGCCAGTAGCATGGCTCTGGCAGAGCAGGCACGGCAGCTGTTTGAGAGCACTGTGGGTGCAGTGCTGCCCGGCCCCATGCTGCAGCGGGTCCTGTCCTTGGACCCCGACAGCGGAGAGCTGAAGGTACGGGACCGGAGCTTTCAGCTGCGGCAGAACGTCTACCTGGTGGGCTTTGGCAAGGCTGTGCTGGGCATGGCAACTGCAGCCGAGGAGCTCCTGGGCCAGCATCTTGTGCAGGGCGTGATCAGCGTTCCCAAGGGGATCCGTGCAGCCATGGAGCATGCTGGCAAGCAGTAAGGAACCTGGGGGTGCTGTTCTCGTCTGGAGGGGAACCTGGGCCCAGGTTCAGGCTGGATCGGGGCCTCCTTCCTTCACCAGCTTCCGGTTTCTTCTGGGAGTGGCCTGGGTCCAGGGTGGGTGTCAGTGGGCGTCCTTGTTCATATCCCCTTCACCTGTACATCTGAGAAACCAGGCGGGACACAGAGCCCACTGCATCTCTGGCTCTCCCTTCTCTCTCCCCTGAGGGAGATGCTGCTGAAGCCACACAGCTGCATCCAGGTATTTGAGGGTGCGGAGGACAACCTGCCGGACCGGGACGCTCTGCGGGCTGCTCTGGCCATCAGGCAGCTGGCCGAAGGCCTCACCGCTGATGACCTGCTGCTCGTGCTCATCTCAGGTGAGGGTGCCACATTGGCTCAGGACTCGTGTGTGTGTGTGTGTGTGTGTGTGGCAACGGGAAGGTTTCCCAGTATCAGGTGTGCAAGGAACCGTTGGTTGGAGCCCTCAAGGTCACAGATTAGAGGCAGTAAAGATTTGGGTGACTGACTCCTTGGTGGCCTCCCCTGAGCTGTGGGGCCCTCCACTTGACTGACCTTGTCAGATAACTGTGAGCGGGCACACAGGGAGGTCTTTCAAGGAAAACATCTCTGTTGCTGCTGCTGTTGGCACCACTGTCATCTGGGGATAGAACCCCGGTTTCCAGCTCCCTGAGCCCCCTCCCTAGTTTTCTGCTGTGTCCTCCAGGTCTGTTTCCTTTTCCAAGGTCTTAAGGAATAGTTCTTCCAGTGTCTTCTGGGACCTGGGCTACCCCAAAGCAGAGTTCAACCTCAGGTGCCTTGGTTGTGGTGACTGTGTGGGCATTCACTGTATGTCCACACGGGGGCACCCTCACCCCTCTTTCTAGCACCTGCATCCCTAAGTGAGCACTGCCTGCCGGCTCCCCAGGTCGGGAAGTCCCAGTGCCATCCATCCCTTCTGCCCAAAGCCTTCATTGTCTCTGCAGGGGGTGGCTCAGCCCTCCTGCCCGCCCCCATCCCACCTGTCACTCTGGAGGAGAAGCAGACACTAACCAAGCTGCTGGCGGCCCGGGGAGCCACAATCCAGGAGCTGAACACCATCCGGAAGGCCCTGTCCCAGCTCAAGGGTGGGGGACTGGCTCAGGCCGCCTACCCTGCTCAGGTGCGTGGGGCCCTTCTTCGCCAGGCAGTCCAGGGCTGGTGGAACCAGGCCCACATGTGCCAGGGAGATGAAGGGCAGAGGCCTGGTGTGGGAGTCCACAAGGCTAGGTGTTTTGCACACCCACTTGAGAGGGGTTAGAAGTGGGCGAGGAAGTGCATTGGGTGGTGTGAAGACATGTGGCTAGATGAAGGCAGTTTGTCCTCTCGGGCCCTGGGGCAAGGATCAGGTGGGGCTGAGCCTTGCCTCTGCGACCCCTCCCCAGGTGGTGAGCCTCATTCTGTCAGATGTGGTGGGGGACCCCGTGGAGGTGATTGCCAGTGGCCCCACTGTGGCCAGCATCCACAGCGTGCAAGACTGCCTGCACATCCTCAATCGCTATGGCCTTCGTGCTGCCCTGCCACGCTCTGTGAAGACTGTGCTGGCCCGAGCCGACTCTGACCCTCACGGGCCACACACCTGTGGTCACGTCCTCAATGTGATCCTTGGCTCCAACGCACTGGCACTGGCCGAGGCTCAGAAGCAGGCTGAGGTGCTGGGATACAGGGCTGTGGTGCTGAGCACAGCCATACAGGGTGATGTGAAAAGTGTGGCCCAGTTCTACGGGCTGCTGGCCCGAGTTGCTGGAGCCCGCCTTGCTCTGCCTGGCACTGGAGCGTCTGTGGAGGAGGATGACCGACTCTGTGAACTTGCTGCTGACCTCCAGCTCCCAGATCTGCAGCTGAAAGAGGCTCTGGAGGCTGTGGTGGGCGCTCAGGGCCCAGTCTGCCTGCTGGCTGGTGGCGAGCCCACGGTGCAGTTGCAGGGCTCAGGCAAGGGTGGCCGCAACCAGGAGCTGGCCCTGCGTGTTGGAGCGGAGCTGGGACAATGGCCACTGCAGACTGTGGATGTGCTGTTTTTGAGCGGCGGCACTGATGGGCAGGATGGGCCCACGGAGGCAGCCGGGGCCTGGGTCAGGCCTGAGCTCACCAGCCAGGCCGCCGCCGAGGGTCTGGACGTGGCCACCTTCCTAGCCCACAATGACTCACATACCTTCTTCTGTCGCTTCCAGGGTGGGGCACACCTGCTGCACACGGGGCTGACCGGCACCAACGTCATGGACGCCCACTTCCTGTTCCTGCAGCCGCAGTGATGCTGTAGGTGTAGGTCATGTTTTGGGGAACCTAGAAGAGGCCTGCAGGGCAGCGTCCTGGAACAGACCAGGTTTGGTCCCCAGGGCCTGACCAGGCTTTAGGGCCCCGTCTCCCTTGGCTGTGGCCACTTGGTTGGCCCTTACACCTCCCAGCCAGGGCTCCCTCTGTGTCCAGTTTCACACTGGCCAGGCAGATGGGGGCTCTCTTCCACCCCTACTTTCAGCCATGGGTACCCCAGAGGACCAGGNCGTGGCCACTTGGTTGGCCCTTACACCTCCCAACCAGGGCTCCCTCTGTGTCCAGTTTCACACTGGCCAGGCAGATGGGGGCTCTCTTCCACCCCTACTTTCAGCCATGGGTACCCCAGAGGACCAGGACAGGCCCCTGGGCCAGTTCGCTGTTCCTAGTCTTCTCCTCCAGGCAGCCCCTCTGCTCAGCTCCCAAGCCTGTTTCTTCTGCGGGGTGAAGCAAGAAGGACTGAAAATAAAAAGGACCACGCTCTGGGTTCTCAGTGCGTCTTCTCTCAGAGCACAGACCGGCAGGGGGCTGCCGGGAGCGGAGTGGTGGTCGCCAGCGGCCTCTGCACTGGGGCCCTGCAGGAGTTCGCTGTCCCGTCTCTGCAGGGCACTTGGTTCACCTAAAGAGGAGCCTGGGAGGGTTGAGCCTGGTGTGCTTGATGTGGGTGAGCAGAGATCCCAGGGAGGACAGGCCTAAGGACGTTAGTCTAGCTGTCACTCCCCGCTGTGGCATCCCTGCTGAGGTGTCTCCTCACTCTGCACGTGCTTGCTGCCTGCCCCACCAAGGACTTCCCTCCCTTCTGTCTTTGGACAGTCCTTAGCCAGACTGTACCTTCTTTTCTTGAGCTGCCTCCTTTTTCCAGGGGCTATCCCCAGCCACACAGGACACTGGCTCTTGTTTCCTTGTGCCAGGCCCTTTTTCCCAGCCGAACCGCCCCCCCGCCCCCAACCAGATCCTTCAGCCATTCCTCTGGGGACACCGTCCGGGTCCTGGTGCCAGCCTGCGGTGGAGGGGGGTGGGTCTCCAGTGTTGGGATCCAGCAGCCCTCCCCCTGTTCCAGCTGGCCGGGGAGGGGAGCCCAGGGGAGGGGCTCCTTTGGCCAGACTAACAGCCTGCGTTGGGAGACGGGGGCCGCTGTCCCGGTCTCCTTGGACCTCTCTGTTGAGTGTCCGAGCCCGCCGCTGGCTGCCCCCGCCGTGCGCCACGGCTCCAATCCCTATATGAGTGAGCAGTAGAATCACATAGGAATAAAAAGCCATAGAGAACAGCGAGGCCTGGGGCTGCTCCTGCTGGCCCCCACCCCACCCCAGCCACGCCCTCCCCTCTGAGGCTGTGAGGGACTCGGGGCCAGGGCTGGCATGCCCTGCCCCTGGGAAGAGCCTCCTTCCGTCCAGACTGCAGCGTGCAGATGGTTCCTGGTGGGCTGGGGACGGGCAGGGAGGTGAGCTGGGTTCTGGGGGCCAGGGGGATTTAGGGGAGAGGGGAAATGGCACCTCTCTGTGATGCTGGGGCTCCACTTCCTTCTGTCCCGGCAGGAGGGTCCTTCTGGCTGGGGCGGGGCAGGGGTAGGGTCATAGTCTTGCGGAGTACTGTCCTCACACGGCCGAGCCTGTGCCCAGGTGCTCCTCCAGCACCCTCTAGACATGCCCTGGCCCCACTTCAGTCCTCCCTGTGAGGCCTGAGTGTTAGCACTGGGCACCAAGTTCCCTGCAAGGGCAGAACGAAGGCTGGGGCTGTGGCCGAGGACCCGTCCGCCGTGTTGCCCAGCGTGTGCAGGAGCGTGCGCGCGCGTGTGTGGTAGCATGCAAGCGTGCTGGTGTTAGTGCTGGCATCCCAGGAGGAGGAGCACATCTGTGTGTATGCACAGACATCCTCAGCACGGGCGGTCCTGCTTCCTGGACTCGTGGCTGCTTACTTGCCTGCTGAGGGGGTTGAGTGTGGGTGGGGTCTAGCCAGAAGTACCCCCCGTGTCACCTCCTTGGCCCCTGCCCTGAGCCTGTGTTTGTGGGGGCTGGGAGGCCAGAGGCTGGGTTGGGCCTAAGCCATTAGATTTGCCCATTTGGTAACCCCTAGATGAGAAAGGATATATTTGACTGCAATCTAGATGAAAATGTGAAATAAAGCCTACACGGTGAGTGTTCTGTAGGACTTATTATCTGTTCCATAAACCTTAATTATGGGCTGTAATAACCGCTCCCATCCCTGGCTCTTGGCTTCCGTCCTTCTCCGCTCGGGTTCTTGCTGTCCTCTTGCCGCCCTCATCTCCGTCCCCAGAAGCTTTCCCTGGCTGCTGCCCTCACAGGCCCTTCCATTGCCTGCACTTAGCATGAGCCGAGAGCGACTGGGCAATGGGCCTGGCCAGCCTTTAGGTGTCTGCTAACCCAAATCCCTTTGTTTTATAAAAGCTGGTGAAACAGAGAGGGAAGGTGGCTTGTCTGGGGAAGCACAGCAAGTCTGCCACAGAGCCAGAATGGGAACCTGCTTGGGACTTTCCTGACTATCCTTTGCCCACCCTCTGGGGCTCAGAGACCCTGGGGCCTGGTGAGGGCTCGGCCAGAGCCCAAGGTCTGCTCCTGCTTCCCCGCCAGGGGCTTGGGGATGATGACATGATCACACTTGGTCCATCTGTGTGTGTGCTAAGTTGCTTTAGTCATGTACGACTCTTTATGACCCTATGGACTATAGCCGGCCAGGCTCCTCTGTCCATGGGCTTCTCTAGGCAAGATAACGAGTGGGCTGCCATTTCCTACTCCAGGGGATCTTCCTGACCGAAATTGAACCCATGTCTCTTATGTCTCCTGCGTTGGCAGGCGAGTTCTTTACCACTTGGTCCGTCTAGGGGTCCTTAGAACAGACTTGTCAGCCCCTCTTGGCTTAGATTCCACAGCTCCTTTGTGTGTGTGATTTGGCAGAAAGCCACACGCAGTTGAGTGGTGGGCTTCTACACAAAGGTGTGTCTGCATCTGTGTGCACAGCTGTGTGTGTGCGGTCAGGGACATGTGTAGGCATGCGTGTGTCCACTTCAGCCCACAGACAGTCACTTGGTGGACCAATGAACCACGCTTGGAGTGGGTCAGGGGGCACACGCAGTGTGGTGTTGGTTAGAATGTTGGGGAGATGGTGACACAGATTTGACAAGGAGGCCATAAAGGCTGGCCAAGACCAGTGGCAAAGAGCCCCTTGTGCCTGGCTGGGGGCGCACTTCACACTGACAGTGGTGGCAGGCCCATGAGGGTTTTTGGCAATGAGTGATGCTAGGAGGCTGTGTTAGGACAGTGATGCTGAGGCCTTCCTTACCACGGGGTGGGTGACGTGTAGGGGAGGTGGGGCAGGTGGGAGAGAGGTGCCTCACCAGGCCTGGGAACCCCTACCCCCTTCCCCTCCTCGGGCAGCCTCATTCCGGCAGCCTTCAGCCAGCCCGGCTGCCCGGGCAACCCTTTGGATGCCCGCTTTGGAACCAAGGCTGGAGGCCCTGACTCAAGACACCCCGGGGAGTAACCTAGCCCTGTGTCACTGGGAATGCCATCAGGGTGTGAGGGTTTCAGGGGGTGGCGAGGCTGGGCAGTGGGTGGACTTTAGTGAGCGTAGGAATCGCACCCTCAGGTAGGCTTTCTCCAGGGCAGCAGTTGAAAGACCCAGAAGGAGCACTGCAGTGGGAATCAGGTCCTAGGTCCTTATCCTGGCCATGCCAGCTTTCTTTTCCCAGACCTTGGTTTTCCCTTCTGTTTAATGGGGACAGCATCCTTATCCTCACCTCTCTGGGCATGTGGTGGCAGCAGATGCATGTGGGTAGGAAAGCTCTGTGGAAAGGGGTCAGGGATGGAAGGAGTGAAGAGAGCGGTCTTAGCCTCTTCCCAGGAGAAGCTCAGGGAGCCGTCAGGGAGGCCCCCTCCTCCATGCAGGCTCAGGGTTGAGCCCAGGAGGCCTTGGCAGTCACTGAGGCTGAGCGAATGACTCCCACCCTCTGGCACTGGACTGGCATCGGCAGGGTGTGGTACTTGGGCCTTTAATGGCTGCTGGGGTGCACAGCGTCCTGGGAGATGACAGAACCAGTTGTGGGGGCTCAGCTAGAGATAGAGTTAGCTGGCCCAGCTTGGGAGAGAGCCCGTGAGGGCTCAGAAAAATGGGTGGGGCAGCCTGGTCCACTGGGATCACCTGTAAGGGACCTGATGAGGCCCAGACTGGGTGAGTGAGAACTGGCCTGACCCCAGGCCATGAGTCTCTCACTGGGCGCTGGGCGAGAGGAATCCAGTGTGCTCGGGGCTGTGTGGGGGCCAGGGGAAGTTGGGGAGGTGGCGCTGACACACCCTGAGTGGTGGGGAAGCCAGTGGCCTAGGCAGGCTGCTGCAGTGGGGGGTCGGGGGGGGAGAGTTGGTGCATAGAGCTGAGGTGAGCTGTGCCCAGGCCTGGAGGGCTGGCCTTTCTCCCTGAGACAGGGGTGTCTTGACAGCCAGCCCCTCCATAGGGAACCAGGGGGCCGGTCTCAAGGCTTTTCTGTCTTGTTTCCTGGGCTCTGGCTGCCCTGTTCTGGAGAGGCTGGTGGGGTGGGGTGGGGTGGGGCGGGCTCGGGGCCCCCAGCCCTGATTCTCCCTCTTTGCACGTGGTGCTTCTCCATCTGGGAGGGGATCTCACCAGCTCAGAGGAGGGGCCTTTGGCCAGGGGAGAGGACCAGGGAGAGTGGGACCCCAGAAGCAAGTGCCCCATCTGCCCAGTCCTAGGTGACAAATGCCCCTAGCTGCTCTGCCTCGCAGGGTCACTGCCCACCACGATCTTGTCTACTGCTGGCTCCTGGGGGTTCAAGGAGCTGTAGGACCTGACCCTGCCCTAACCAAATAGCCAAGGCCTGCCCCCCTACCCTGCCCCTGTCAGTCTTGGACTTTCCTCCCTCTCCTCACCCCCCCAAGCCCAGCCCCGCCTGCAGAGCCTCCCTGCTCGCCTCTCTGGGGAAGTGTGAGAGGCACAGGGTGTCCCCTTCCAGCCCAGTCTCTCCATCCCCAGCTTCAGGGAGAAGGGGGCGGGGCCCACGGCACTGGCTTCTGCCCCTTCCATCCACTCCCACCCACCTGCCCAGCGTCAGGGTCTCTGGATCCCTGTGTAGCTGGGGCAGCTCCAGTACTCACACTTGTAGCCTCACTCAAGAGCCAGGGCTCTGTTTCCACCGGTTGCCGCCCAGCTGTCCCCGGTGCCCGCCCTCCCCCCCATCAAGGCATTCCTCCCTGTCC